TTGTGCCTCACAGCTGTCCATGTGCGAGGAGATGCTACGAGAGCTGCAGGGCATCGTGCTGTGTCAGGACAGCCTGCAGGTACGGCGCAGGCGCGGAGCCAGTGTTCTGCGACCGCAGCCTCTGCCCCTGGACGACCGGCGGGCGCGGGCCACGGCAGCGAGCCTCAGCAACGGCAAGCTGTGCACAGGCACCGGCCTGCCCGAACCACTCTCCCACAGACTGGCGCAGGAGGCCGCCCTGGTGGCGCGAGGGTGCAGTCACATTCGCATCTGCCCGGAGTGCCGGCGCTTCCAGGGCATTCGAGTGCGCCCCGCTGGCCCCTTAGGAGCTTCACCCACCCACAGCGAGGAGAGTATAGAGTGGGAGAAAGGCACCAACAACAGTGAACACGAATAACCTCTCTTACCTGTGTCGGATAGACGTTAAACGACGGCTTTGCTGGACCCAGGGATTATGGGAACATAGGCTCCGTAGAAGGAGCTAAAGGAGATGCTGTCCGTGCTGCTCAATTCGGCCCAGGAGCTGCGTCTGGTTTCTGTACACTGTCCTTACAGCCCTCTGCTTTTGGGGGACACAGCAGAGGGGCTTTGTACTATGCAGTATATTTGTCTTACTGTGCTGTTGATTTATTTTTAAATTATTCCTCTTTTGTTGTGAAACCACTATATTGCTATTATCTCCTTCTGACGACGCCCGTTTAGTTTTGTTTTTCACACAGCGGACGACTGCAGACTCGATCCACTATCGCTCAACCTTTTTAGAGTACCAAAATACTTTGTATTAATTTTGTGCTGTCGCCTTCTCATGCCGGCCCCTGGCGGAGTAAAAATTAAGAGAACTGAACACAAAAACAACTGCGATCTGTTTTTATTATTAGTCATATTATATTAAAAAGGTTTTTGGGATGTTTCTGAATGTTTGATGTGCATGTACGAGGGTTTTAGATGCTATTGAATGGAGAAACACAAGATTTTTTATACTTTGCTTTTCATTCTTTTGAGTTAAATTCATATTGTTGCACTCTTTGGATATGAAAATTGCACATAGTTATGGAAAAGTGGATGCTCCCATTTAAGAAATTTGCATTAGGAATTGATACAGATTTCCATTGACCCTTATTTTTGTCATTCTAGCAGGATTCTAGGAGGTATCAAGTGTGTTCGCTTTCAAAAAATATGTCAGGGAAGTGAGTTGATTGATTTTTGTTCCTGGCGAGGTCTTACATTCATCTCACCACTCAATACATGATGAAATCAACAGGGTCACTCCATCTAGACATATCTGTGTGATGAGACATTGGAGATTGTGGGCCTATGTACATCAGGTATTTCTTTATATCACATAACAGCTCATAAAGTTATTGGGGTTTTTTTCTAGTTTGATACCAGAAACATCCATTTGTTTATGTGATGTCTTGGGTTCATCCTTCTTGTTTTCAAAGAGAGACATCTGGTGAACAACCTTTTAAAAATGGATTCCACCCATCAGTTTTTATCAACGCACCACAGCTGATGCAGAATTTAGATACCAAAATGAAATGATTTTATTAGGCATGATGGTATCCTCAACTTGCAGAGCCAAATTGTAATAAATTGCCTTCACGTTTTGGAGAGCCATTAGAGGTTACTTATACCCATGTTGATTTTTCTGTGCATTTCTATTGAACTGAATCCATTTCTAAATGATATTTCAATACGGTGTTAGTGCCTGACGAAAATAAATGGCATTGTGTTCAGTTCTGTGAAAGTTTTTGTCTCTTGGATCTTTTGACTCACTCTGTAAACATTTGCTTTTCTAGGTGCACAAATACAGCTCCATTCATTTACAGGTTTGAATGGCTGTGATTGTGTGTTTCAGGCATCTGATAAACAATGGCAAAGCTGTATGTGCAGGTGGGTTTTCACTGGATACACAGACTTGTAGACAACTCTATGGGGGCAACCTCTTCAAGATGTGAGAGATATTTACTATGTGGGGCATGAGCACACCTGCTTTAGACTCAGAGACATTTGAGCTGGTTGAAAGAGTGTAGAACACACAAGCAAAATGACTGACTGCTCTCATAGGAAGGTTAAATCAAGCAGTTTAAGTTTACAAAATCAAAAAAAATATTGGCAAAAAATGCACATGCAGCAATTAATCAAATCTGTCGCAACTAATGTAGCATCATGCAAAACTGAGCTTTCAATGCCACTGAAATGCTCTATTTACACTCAAACACAACTAATGTATTCCATGAGCAAAAGTGACCAATAATAGGGGGTTAACAAGACAAACTGAATGGTATTCGGCTAGTCATGTGACCTCAAAATGGCTGCCCACATGAGGTGACCCGCTCCATGTAAAGCAAAACAGGTTTTGTTAGGTTATTAATATGACAGGGGTCTTCATGTCATGTGAGTGTACATTGCTTTTATCATGTATAAAAAGTGTTATTTATCCTCATACGAATTAGCCACAATTTCAGCAAAACATAAAATAGTTACAAACTGCCATGCGAGTGTGTCGGAGCTTCTGAACTTCTCTCAATCCTGAGTATTTTCAAACTGAAGAAATATCTACAGATGTCTAAAAGATAGAAATCCTTTTAAATTCCAGGGTTCAAACACTAAGTTGTCCAATGCTATGATGGTTTGATAGTAATGAGTGTGAATTGTTCAGAGACCAAAATGTCATGGCAGAAGACAGGACGACTTAGTGAGATTTGCAAAGCTCACAGCCCAATCAGTCCAGATGCATTCCCGAGGGCCGGGCCCCAATCTCCGTCAGCATACTGCCCTTCTCCAAGCCATTTATTTCTTCATTCAGCTCTGACCTGTTTCCACGGGATGAAATTGCATCTCTAGCTTTAATTCCTTCTGGTGTTGTAACTGGTTTGGGTCAGACAGCAAGAAATATGACTTTCTGCTGATTGACACTGAATGACATCAGCAAACTTGGTTTCACGTGTTGTTGTGTTGTGCCATATAGTTAAAAGTAGTTCAAGTTTTTTTTTTTAAATGCAGTGCTCCAGCTAAAAGTAGTTCAACATTTAATAAAAAAAATAAAAAATTTTTTTTTTTTTTTAACGATTCTCTAAATGCATGATATTCCTCTGACCTGCATTTTGCATTTTAATTGAAAAATGCTCTCTGTGTGAATGGGCCCTTAGGGGCGACAATGGAGCTTTTCCATTGTTTTTCCTATGCGCTATGGATGTGTTTGACACTGATTCTTTTACAGCGTCTTGCACATAAAAGGGCATTATTAAAAAATGTGGCGTTCATGGTAAAAAAAAAAAATCTCTAGGCCTTTTTTGTTTTGTTTTTACCCTGCGTATCACATTTTTGAAAGCATTGAATGGCTCCTATGTTAGTTGAAGTCAATATATTTATAGCAACATACCTTAATAATAGCTCATCCAATTTCATGTCAGATGCATTTGAATGCAACTGTTTTAGCATAGTGCTATCTTGCTGTTTTTCACAGTTTCACAAATGATTTATGATCAAAAGCATATATAAAATAGCCCATTCTTCAAAATGTTTTAAAATGCAGAGTCATTGCTACTAATCTTTTTCGGGTCACTGGTTTGTCACCTACAGCTGAATTTCTAGCTATAGACTCTGTTTAATGTTCAAACACATCAGAGGTAAGTAACAGCACAGGTCAAAATGCTCTTTGTCGTCTTCTTTCCACAATGAAAGTGTAGTTAACGTCCCTGTGAGTGCAGGTATATTGTCATGTTCATTTTGCCGTCTTTTGTTCCCTGGCAGTGCTTGAATAAGCAGGACAACAATCTCACCATTACAGATATAATGAAATAAAAGTATTTTCTTTTGCTTTCATTTCCTTTCCATTTATTCACGTTGTGATGGATTGATCTCGGATTGGGAGACATTGATCATCTGACTGCCAGATCAGACGTATAATGCTGGCACATAGAAAATGATCATTGTAGTGCCACATGTCTTTCCATGAATGTTAAATTCATGACATAACAAGGTCAGTTATTTAATATGTAACTGCATTAACTCAAGATGTTGATATTGAGATGATGTTTGTAGAGTTTATTCCAGCCAGCCAGCCAGCCAGTTCTTCTGGGGAATCTCACATCTGTAAATCAACAGCTGGCGTCTGTCAGGGGCATTAGAGCATTACTCTTGGAATCATATTAAGAAGAAAACAACAGGTAAACACATCTTATACATTCTATAGGGAGAAAATTAAATCAGAAAAGGTTTATTTCATTATTTTATTTTAATCAATTTATACGAAAGCGACAGAGAATTAGGCCAACAGAGACACCAGCTGGTGACAGAATGAACTGCACTGTCCGCTGGATACTATTGAAACGATTTGGATCAAATGCATACATTTTACATAAAACCATTTTTCTGCATAAATTGTCCCATTCAATTCAGTGGGACAATATACATGCAAATAGATTGATGAATTGCTTGCATAGAAATTCATTCTGCTTGTTTCATGAAGAAGGCCCAAACACAAGTCTAAACACAATGTACAAACTGCTTTCTCAAATTACACTAATACCTGGTATGTTAAAATTGATAATTACGTGAACAGTATTGAAAACTATATAATAATGTTATTGAAAGAAGCCTCTTATGCTCACCAATGCTGCATTTATTAACAGTAATATTATATATAAATATATATATATATATATAATATATATATATTAAAACGTAATTAATTAATTTATTCATTACTCCGGTCTTCAGTGTCACATGATCCTTCAGAAATCATTATAGTATGCTGATTTTCCTGCTCGAGAAACATTGAAAAACTTGTGGTGCTTTTTTTGAAACCATAATACATTTTTTAGGAATATTTTATAAATAGAAAGTTCAAAAGAACAGCATTTATTTTAAATAGAAATATTTTGTAACATTATAAATGTCTTGACTGTCACTTTTGATCAATTTAGTGCATCTTTGCTAAATAAAAGTATTAATTTCTTTCCAAAAAAAAAATATATATATATATATATATACACACACATCTCAATCCCTGGAGCCCAGTATGAAAAGCCATGGCTTATGCATTATACATGTCATTTCTTAGATGTCAGAGGTCTTGGTCTTGTTCTGTTCACAGTTCTCAACTAAAGATGTCCTCATATGTGAAGCGGGTTTATCCCAAAGTCACTGAGCATGTCCTTGACTTCCTGATGAAGGACTGTGCTCTGTTCTTCCCACTGCAGCCGCGTCTCAGCCAGGTGAGAGAGCAAACTGTCCAGACAGCCCTGTACCAAGCCAATAGTGCACCAATTCATAAAAACCAACTCAATTTAAAATGAAAAGTAGCTTATTAAATGGGGCATGTCTTGCCATCTGGCACAAGCATTTAGAGGTGCAGATGGTCTCTACTATTCTAAAATACTAAATGCTGAAATGGATAACCTTTTGGATGGCAGTCAGATTTGGTAACACTTTAATTAACCGTCCGTTCAATTTGTTTTACTATAGCATTAATTATACCTCATTTAGTCAAGTAGATTATTCAGTCACACTTTGAAATGCCACCAAGCAATTTTAAGCTTTGTGTAGTGCTAATAAAATATGTCATCCTTTCAAGCGCTGATATTTCACTTAATCACTTTATAGAGCAGTGCCTCTGACTTACGTGCAGTATCTTCTCACACTCACTCTCCATGCGGTCCAGTTTGCTCTGGAGGTCAGAAATGATGGCGTCTTTTTCTGCTTCCGTCTTCTCTCGCCGCTCTCTTTCCGATTTTAATTTAACCTGACACTCGGCTAATCAAACAGAGGCCTGTCATCAGCATGTGTTTGGTTAAAGCACACTGCCTTTGATAAGCACAAGAATTTGAATATGCTGATCTCACCGAACTGAGTCTGAAGCAAGTCCACACTCACTTCAAGCCTGTTCACTTTAGTCTGCAGGTCTGTTTCCATAGACCTATATTGACGGTTGAGATCTGTTCTCAAAGGTAAATACAATACATATTGTGTTAGAAATCAATGACAATATAACTTCTTACAGAAACATACTGTAAATCACACAAGTTATTCACACTACCATTCGGAAAGTTTTTTTTATTTTTATAATGACATTTTTAATTTCACAAAATATTTCTATTACAAATAAATGCTGTAGTTTATATTCATCGAAGACTCTTGAAAAATAAATCTATCACTGTTTCCACAAAAATATTAAGCAGCACAACTGTTTTCAGGAAAGGTTTATCGAGCACCAAATCAGCATATTACAATGATTTCTAAAGTATCATGTGACACTAATGACTCAAGTGTTTCCAAAGCAGAATAACATGAAACATTATCGGGCGGTTTCCCAGACAGAGATTAAGCTAGTCCTCAGCCCTGCTAACATTAATCTGAAGTTAAACCTGCCTCCTTGTAGGTTTAATTTAAGCCTCAATTTAGTCCTGAAAGTAGCTCTAGTCTTCCTCCAGGAAATCACGGTCATCATCTATGTTATCCAAAGGTTGCTGGCTCTCAATTAGGCTATTCCTGTCAGTAATTCATCCAAGTGGCCATATCTTTATTCGCAGGTCCTCCGCCAGTCTTAAACCTCTCTCTTCAGGCATCAGCAGCGGGGGGGTTTTTCTTCTCGATTTATTATATCAACCCACAGATTTCACAAAACAGTAATGTAATAAAGCTGATGATTCAATCTTGAAGTTGTTGTATTGTTCTTGTAGGTGTGTGTTCATTTACATTTAATTAATTACAAATAGATTTCCAGGCATTCCTTTCCTTTTCCTAGATTACACAGTTGATTTAGGCTACGTTTTTTTTTTTTTTTTTTGCTATTTGCTTTAAACTTGCTTTAAACTATAGTTTAAAATTATATACGGTTAAAAGTTGTAAAACCTAAAACGTTGCTACCGTATTTTTAACAGGAAAACTCTGGTAACCACAGCTGCCAGGGTTTTCCTGTAAATTTAACAGTTTTTTTTTTACAGTGTAGTTCTCTTGTTCAAGTATTTTTTTTTTCTGCTGCCATTGTTTTCCTTGGATTTGCTTCTCAGTAACATACAATTTTAAGATTTTCTTGGTTCATTCCAAATAGGAAACCTCTGTCATGCCAATTCAGATTAGCTCAGTTGGTTTTAAATTAATCTTGTTTAGTTTAGTTCAGGAATTCATAGTCCAGGTGTTAGTAATCTGTACTTAATCTGTGTTTTAGAAAGCCATTTTTAAACCACGATTAACTATTCTAGATTAAGGTTTACCTGTCTTAAATTTTCTGGGAAACCGCCCCTATATTATAAAGTATGAAGGTGTACTATATCAATAAAGCAATATAATTGTATACAGACCTGCAGTGATGTCCTTCATGTCTGATCGTTCCTGACTGAGCACCTGCTCCAGATCTCTGATTTGACATTTCAAGTCATCTCTCACCACTGTAGCCTGACGCGCTACACTGCTCCTCAGTGCTGACAAGGGTTGTAGAGACGTTACGGTTACTTTCTTAATGTTTTATTTTAATTGAACATCAGCCAACAGAGAAAAAATCTGAGAACAGTCCATTAAAAAAATTATAGCTATTTGCCTTACCCAAATGTTCTTTTAAAACAGCTACGTCTAAGGCACTTCTCTGGTACTTCTCTGAAAGTCCATCATCTGAGAGAAAAAAAAGAAATATTTCATGATAATTAAATAGTTCTTTATTGTAAGAATTATATTATTTTGTGTTTATGAAAGCAACAAAAAAAAACCTTTTTCTGGCGTGCTCTTTTTGGACTTTTCCTTTTTGCTGTTTCCTTTCCCTTTCTTCTTGGGTGGCATAGTGTACAGAGATTCTAGGTCTGCATCTATCGAGCGCAGAAGGAAATTTTTCATTGTGTCTTTATTGTGTATACGGAGCCGCCTGGTAGCGTGGGCGTGGCCAGAGAGAGACGTAAGCCAATCACCTCTCCAGAATGCCAATTACAGTTGTTCTACGTAACCGCATTGCACCGCGTCGCCGGCTGGTTGCCTGGAGCTGTGTATAAAGTTGCCAAGCGCGTCGTGTTGTTTTATGGACAATAAAGTAATTTGAGGTATTTCTGAATTGTTTAGATTATTTAAAGAGAATCTCCTTAATTCGTTTGAAATAGCCTAAAGGATGCGGAGCTCTATCACAAGTGTGTTTACTTTTCATTCAATTCAGTAAAGTGGATGACATTTGTAAAGTCAATGTGAACTGAAATGATGAGAGAAGTTCAACGAACATCATACAGCGGTGAACTTACAAAAACAAAGTAGTTCACCTCAAAAATTATCTGCATAATTAATATCTTTAACCCGGAGAGCGGCGAAAGTAGCCTACAATACAGGCATTTCTACTACCAATGCTTAGCTCATGAATATTAACTACGTCACATTTACGTTGCTTAGTAACCTTCCTAGTGCTCCAGTTACGTGCCTTAATTAATATTTATTAGTCATGCTTTTCACCATAGTAGGATTCGTACATTCACATGAAGAGCAAGAAGGGAGGCGGGGAAAATTTGAGACATGAAAGAGGGCGAGGTCTTACAAGGCGGAACAGGAAGAGCAATCATACAAGTACGGGAGGGGGAGGTAGAAGGCGGTGTTTTATTTCCCTAATATGGTTTTATTTCAATAGGATATTTTTCCGCAATCCAGTATTGCATTTTCATATGAAGAAAGACGATATGTGCTGAGTTTATAATAAACGTGAGCGCCTCCCGTTTATGGGTTTTGCTCGCAAGGGCTCTTGTCTTGCTTAGCCTGAACTTCCCGTTGCAAAAGTAGTGATAGGAAGTACGATTCATTCCAGCGATCGGTTCTTTCGAACACGTCCCTGCAAAGAACCGATTCCACTATTTGCACGTCACTTCTCTGACTGTCACGTCATCACATGGTCCCTCACACCCCGTGGTGAAAATAACTTGCTTGAAAAAAGTTCAGAAAAAACTTTCCCTGCTTGATGTGTATCTGTTAAAACGTGTTTTAATATGCACGTAATTCTTGTTAAGTTTATTGATTGTAATTTGACTGGCAATAAAAAAGAAAAAGGCATTCCATTAGACAATCTGTTAACCTTTAAATCTGTTAAAACGTGTTTTACTGTGCAAGTAATTCTTGTTAAGTTTATTGATTATAATTTGACTGGCAAGAAAAAAGCATTCCATTAGTCGTGTTTACATTCTGACGGTGTTTATTACGCCTATAAATTCATGTGTCATGTTCATGTTTTTTCGTGGACATGATACCGCTCATAAAAACATAGTCATTTAGAACCTAAAAATAATGCATGTCCATTAAACCAATTTCCTTTACATCTAGACTGTTTCAGTCCGACCAGTTTTGTGAACCGATTTAACTGATTGAAAAGATCCGACTCAAAAGAACAGTTCGATCACATTCACGAATCGGACATCGCTCTGCAGAAGCGCACAGATAGAAAAAGAGAGAGAGAGCTGCAGGAAAGGGGAACATCACGCACGCACGGGGTGTCGTTGTGAAAGCAGTTGTTCCTCAACGTCCAGACATCCATCAAAACTTATTTTTACGGGTTACTTTTGACGGGATTCGCCGCACTACCCGAGCGTGTTAAATACAGCGTGAAACGGTGGTTTCCTGCCAGGGGGATTTAATGGGAGTCTTTCATCGATAAAGCGCTTCTTCCCCCCCCCCCTTGACGGACCTTCGCTCGAACCGAACCGGACTCGGGCGCTGTCCTCACCGGGGGGTATCCGATCCGTTATATTTTGACTGCGAAACCAACACTCCGAAGTCCGAATATGGCAGGAAATCTGAAGAAAGGTGGGGGGCTTATTGGCATGATGAAGGACGCTTTTCAGCCTCACCATCACCTCCACCACTCCCATCACCAGCCCGGGGCCGTTGACAAAAAGACGGTGGAGAAATGCTGGAAATTCATGGATAAGGTGGGTGACTATCAAGCAAAAACACAAAAGATAGATACCAGAGAGAGACGTTGTAGCTAGCCGCCTCGGTCTCTTGTTAGCTTAGCCGGATGGCCTGCACCGAGGAGTCCTAATGCAATATGGCAGGGCTGCTCTGCTAAGGCAATTAGCTGAATGGTTTGCTGGCCAATAAACTATATTCAGCCAGTCAAATACTTTGGGAATATCCAGCTTTAGAGAGTAGGTCATTTTTCGGCAGCCGTCCATCCCAGCTTGCCTAGCAGGACTTCTGAATACGGTACAGGGTCCTGTGCTAAGTTAGTTGTCCTAGCTTAATAGCTTGTGGTATTACTTAATTGGTCAATATTGTTTATATTGTGAGAAGAGTATGAATTGTTTTGACCTATCTGGACAAACGTGACGACTCCTGGATGTGAACGGTGTGAAAATCACAAAGTTGGTTTTAGCAACCAATATCTGACGTTCCTAGTCCTGTTGCTGGTCATTTAGTTGGTTAAATTGTCTTAACTTTTAGTGTAGACGTGGATAATGGACAGTTGATCTGTTCTCTCAAACACTACTTGCTTCTCTTGTTCCTGTTTCTATATGTAGTGTTTTGGATAAACAGGAAACGTCACATCAACTTTTTTCTTATTTCATGAAGTACTTACAATTGGTTTTAAGTGAAATGTAGACTATTATTTTCTATTCTGAAGCATTCTACCTTAATTCATAAAGTCTAAGTATCCAACTGTATTTAAAGCTGGTTGTTTTTGTTTAATGGAGATCTATCCAAGCATGGTTTGTCTTATGATCAGGTATTATCAGATGTTAGGCACACTCGGCCTTATCTAACACCTGATTAACCCTATAAAACCTACTGTATCATATCTGATACATGAATTTCTAAGGCTTCTAAATTATCAAGATAATCAAAACTTTGTACACTTGATAGTTCACACGTTTTTTTTTGTTTTGTTTTTGCAAGACCTTTTAGTATAATTTTAAAAATGTCCTCCTTCAGGTCACGGTTTTTGTAATTTTTATAAAGTAAACATAATATATTGTTAGTTATATTTTAAGATGTACCTTTACTGGACTGAAACTTGGGTTTACTTGATTTTTTTTTTTTAAATGATGTATGGAATATCATGTTAAAAGAGCCTGATGTATCAAATATGATGCAAAACAAAACGTATTTTGTTTAAAGGTTCAATTTAATATGTCAGTCTTTACAGGGGTAATGTACTAAGAATTTAAGCATCTGACAAAAAAATGTCTAGTGAAATAGTTAAAAACACACACATTTTTAAAACGGTTAGACGAACATCTGTCTACCAGAGTGGTTTCTTTTGTTGAATTTGCTTCCTCACAATAGAAAAGTTAAAGCTGCAGTTCATGGAAAAAAGTTGTGGTTACTGACCTCACACTTCCTGTGATGTTCACACTGATACATGAGCGAAGCGGTGCATCTTTCACAGGGGACTCGTTTTTAACTTATCCTGTTAAAATGGGAAACCACTTAGATACTAAAGAGGCCATTTACTTAGTACGTTTTGAGATGTTACAAAGGAAAACAATTTAATTGTCACTGAGAAGAGAAATGGTTAATGCTTTATGACTGAGAACTTTGCAACTTCCTATTTGCTCAGTTTCACACTGGGTAGTTTGGTTAGTGCACATGTGACATATCACACTTTCTTCATAAGCAAATCTTCTCATTTTTGCAATTTTAACATTGTAAATTTCCGCTTTGTTAACTTGTGCCGAGTCTTATATTATGAAACCCTTAATGAATGTTTAGTATGTCAGGATCAGTGATTCAGGATACTTTGTCAGGAGAAGTTCAGCTTGCAAAACAGACCTTTCTGAAAGAAATGTTTCTTCATAGGACTTTTACTATTACTTTTATTTCATAAAACATTTATTAAGTCTATCCTGACTTGGCTATTTATTATCCAAATTTAAAAAAAAATCATGTTATACGTTAAGTTATATTCTCCCAATCCCCTGTAAATATTCAACCTCTTACAAACTCCACAAGAACCCAATGGTTGTTCTTCCCAGTTTGACCTTTAATATGAAAAAACTTTGCATAGTCAAATAAGAATAAAATCAAATGAAGTTCTGTATTTCCCCTACATCTATGCATTGCATGTTCACCTTGTTAATAAACAAATTATCTACACTTTGATTTCCTCATAGGGTTTAGTAAATATGAAACCACAGGCCAATTAAGAACATTTTATTTGTAGTTGTTGATGGTAGGATTTGCATAGTAGGATGTGGTTAATCATGATACTATGAATACAAATTTAACACCATAAATAGAACTTGCATTTTTAATTGCATAAATATATTGGTGCATATTTAATGATTTCTATTTTAATTGACTTCCTGGTGACGTTTTTCATGCTTGAGACCAAGCAGATGTTTCTCCTGCCTTTTGGACTATTTTTCTTAATTCAGATTATCACTGGAAGCCATAATGAAACCACGTCTGCACGTGAACACATAGACGTATGCATGTTTGCTGATAATTCTCAGGACGTCCTGTCGCCACAGTCTTATCTCTTGGCTGTCAGGACTGGGGGTGCATGAGAGCCAGAAGTTTTGGAGCACAAGACAGACTGGATGGTGAAGTCTGCCCCCCCTCCCCTTCCTCCTGTGATGTCATCAGCTCTCCCCACCCCCCAATCACAGCTGGTCCTGTGCTGGAGACAAAATAGATAAGAGAGGCTGCAAGCCCTCGGAGCAGCTGCACGCAGCGCCAGCCTCTTATTGCCGAAACGTGCGCTTGCAGCACGGCGCTTCTCCAACTGCTGGGGTGGTGACATTTGAGCAGTTTCCCGTTTCCTCAAATTTCCCACCCACGTCTTAATCAATAGTTCAGAAGGTGATGATGCGTGGCTTTAGTCCAGACAGAGGAGAGCCACTATGTCTGGATTAAAGCAAAGGCTACTGGACTATCAGTATAGCCATTAAGTTGTTTGGCTAATGAAGTGGTTTGAGGGCATGCGCTTAATCATGATGATTTATTGTCTAGAATGGATGTTTTTAGTTTTTCTTGGGAGATTTCAACAACTTTGTGGCCTCCAGTAGGGTTGGGTGGAATTACTATATATATATATATATATATATATGTATATGTATGTGACAATTTGTATGTTATTACGATATATATTTGACAAGTTGAGATATTGCTATACAGTTGATGGATATAACATGTGAAATACACCGCTGTACTAACTCTGGGGTCAGTACGCTTTAAAAAAAAAAAAAAATTAATAGTTTTATTCAGCAAGGATGCATTAAATCAATCAAAACTTTGTCGCATTAATAGTATGATCCTGGTGAGCTTATACATTCTATTTTATGACCTTGAACACGTCTCATCCAATCAGAATTTGGAGTTGGAATTACTAGTATATGTTTTTAATGTTAGTTTTTACAATTTAGTGTTAAATAATGTAAAGCTTGCCCTGGTGTCAGGCATATTCATTTGTCATGAATCTTTTATATAAATAGAAAATAATAAAAACTTCATAGGTTTAGAAGTTATGAAACTTATTATTAAATTGAAACATTAGCTATATTTGTAAAGTATTTAACTCAATTATGCAAAAAATAGGCTGTACAACATAGTTAATTAATATACTCATTTCCCATTTTGACTTACGACAAACAAAAAACTCCAATAATTATATACAATACCATGATAAAAAGCTGTGATGGATGATTTTGGTCATTCCGCCCAACCCTAATCTCAAGCATTAGACTTCTGTAGCTGCAAAGTGAACAACACGGTGTCATTCCCAGTCACCAGCTATAAATGTTGTAGAAATTGAGATGGCAGCGTAGTGCTGTGTAGATTGCAGAACCGAGTCTTGTGCAAACACGGTTGTCCTTGTATGTAGTTCACAAAAATTCTTCTCTCTGGAATGTTGTTGTTGTGTGACCTGACTAGTTTTGTGTGTGTATTTTCAGTTCAGTTAAGTTTTAAAGCCCTTGTCAGTGTAGTTTTTATTTTTATCTTACACATATCACACTGCAAGAGAAAACTTTGGCCCACAGAGGATATGAGGTTAGTTTGCAGTTATGTTCTCTCGATCGATAGTCAACTTAATGTGCCTGTAGAGAATTGTACCGAATATTTGTATTTAAATATTTTTACAGAGCTTGTTGGCTGCTTTATTAACAGACAAATATACACAAACATATCCATCCATGTATGTTTTTCTGTAAAGCTGCTTTGAAACCATTTGTAAGTGAGAAGCGCTGTACATATAAAAGTGAATTGAATTGAACATGGATGTGAGTTTATATATGTGTGTGTGTGTGTGTGTAATATTATTGTATAAAAAATGTTTTGAGTTTGAGGAAATATTGATTCTGTCTCAATTTTTTGTGTGCACTACTGTTCAACAGTTTGGAAAGAAATTAATACTTTGGTGGTCACACTTTATTTTAATAAGGTGAAGTTACGTTGTACTTCCTCAAATAAGTACACAGTAATATATTAATTTACTAGGCTACATGTACTTACTATAGAGTTACTTTAGGGTTAGTTAGTTAGTGACTTGTAATTATGCACAATTTACTGTTATTACTGTAGTAAGTACGTACACATATAGTAACATGTAACTACGTCACCTTAAAATAAAGTCTTACCAATACTTTAATTCAGCAAGAATGCATTAACGTTTCAACTTTAAAAATGATAAAATAATAAAGCTTTCTTGGCCACCAAATCAGCATATTAGAATGATTTTAAGTGTCACAGGATCATGTGACACTGGGATAAATTACAGGAATAAATTGCATTTTAAAATATACTAAAATAGAAAAACGTTATTTTAAATTGTAATAATATTTCACAATGTTGTTTAGTTTTTACTGTATTTTTGACTATCAAATAAATGCCACCTTGGTGAACATGCAAGAAAGAGACTTCTTTTAAAAGCATGCTGCAAAATATTACCCACCCCAAGCTTTTAAACAGTAGCCTATAGTTTGTCTTTGTTTTACGCCTCTTTCCTTCCACTTAGAGTAGCTGTTATGTATTTTAAATTAATTTCCGTGGACTGATGTAATAGTGGACTTTCTGGCATAGCCATTCACATAGCACCGCGCCATATTCATTGGATTCTCAGGTTGCTTCTCAGTGTTTTGAAAAGATGCCATATTTATCATCGTCTTATTTTTCTCTGCTCTGCAGGTGGTACGGTTATGCCAGAACCCCAAGCTGGCCTTGAAGAACAGTCCTCCGTACATCCTGGACCTGTTGCCAGACACCTACCAGCATCTCCGCACTATCCTGTCCCGCTATGAAGGCAAGATGGAAACGCTGGGAGACAACGAGTACTTTCGCGTTTTCATGGAGAACTTGACTAAGAAGACCAAACAGACCATAAGCCTGTTCAAAGACGGCAAAGAGCGAATGTTTGAGGAGAACTCTCAGCCCAGGTGAGCACAGATGAGTTTCTGTAGACACCATCTTTAATTACAGCATTTCAGGTCACCAAATTTCTGCTCTTAGTGGCTTCAGAGGCTGCAAATGTTCAAAAAGATGTTCGTTACGGTCTGTAGTGACCAAATAAAGGTTTCAACTTTTTCCATTTGAGGAAGGCGTTGGGTTAGGTGTGAAAGCACGCAGACATCAGAGATCTCAGGCCAACTCTGTGCAGACGTTTCCTGAGCGACTTCATGTTTTTTGGAATGCTCTGCAACTTAGTTTGGTGTGGGAGGCAAAAGCAGAAGCAGTAAGCAGTGAAACATGGTTTGTCAGTCCTTGAATCATGTGAAACCGGTTTCTTGAAAAATTTGAGTAGAGGTTACGTTGAGTTAAGCTGAAGCCCAAGTCGTATATCAAAGATGCAAATGAAGTCGAGCATGTAAGCGCTCACGGATCAGCCAGTGGACTGAGATCGTATCAGGCCTGTGGTTCTTCTGCTTCTCCTGGAAACGCTTGACTCGCGTGCGCGCGCGCGTGTGTGTGTGGACGGACAGATGAGGAATGTGTAATGCAAATAGGACCAGTCACAAGAGGAAGAGCCTAACTGAGGCCCAGACCCTACAACTAACAGTTCAGTTTTAGTTTCCAGATGCAACCTTTGTTAAACCCACATATCATTTGTAATTCATCCTCATATTCCTCTGTCTTGTTTGTAAGTTGTCTAAAAGCACTGACGACTGTTATTTCATTTACATAGCACATAGTCTTCCAGCCCATATATGCCAGTTTATGTCATATACAAAAAAAAAAATGCAGTAAGATTTTCATACATGAAAATTATGTTTAACGCCCCAGCTAAGCCATTAAACCCAATGTGATGTCATATATTTGGCTTATAGTTTGATCTAAAATGACCCTACAATATGATTTAAAAGTTCTATACGTTCTCGTAAGCCCCAGACATTTTCCCTCAGGAACCGCAGCTTGTTTAGTTGATTGTTAACATCTTATTTATGTCCATACTTAATTTCCATCATTCTTATAATCACACTTCCTGTTGTACAGCGGCTTCTCACATCAAAGGCCAGTCATCGAGCCAACTGTCATTTCATATTTTTCATACTATTTTACTTCCCTGAAACTAGAAAAGAATTGTCAATCTAAACATTTAGAGGTTTGGGACCTTAAGAGCTTTCATACGAAATATTTTTGCATGACGAGGGCCTCTTTTTGAGCCACTTTGGTGGCAAATTCTCCAGTCTTAGCTAAAGCTTTTTTTTGTGTCATTACACGCTGAAGCTTTATTTAGTGTGGTTGAGGGGGCGAAGTGTTCGTATTGAGGGAGAAGAGTTTAATGATTAACACATAAGTCATGCTCTGCACCATGCAGACACTGCTCTTCCTGTTAACGCATTCACTTCCCCTTCCTGTTTCTCCTAAGCCCCCATCAGCATGCACTGCTGTGGCTAGCTAAAACCTGATACTTCTTACACTGACTGTCAGTGACAATTCAAGCTTTATAGGATCATTTTCAGCACATATTGGTAGTTAGTAGTACTGAAGACTGTCATAGATCTCCTACATTCAAATTCATGCACTCCATGTCCAAATCAGAAGAACCGATCTCCACCTCTATTGCTGCCTAGCATTGGCTGCACTAGAGCTAGAGGTAGAGCAAAATTTTGGCTTCAGCCCCTGGAACCTTGATATTGGTCCTGAATTGATACCTTGAAGTAAATCGACAGTAGGCAGACTGGTGAAAATGTTTTATAATCAAATTACTATAATCAATTATTAAAATAAATTATTGATGCATTAAATTGTGCATTGATGCATTTTTGAACCCTTCATTATTTCATTTTGTTTTCATGCGTCACTTTACTCTCGCTTGCCTACCAAACCGAATAGCAGGACAATTTGATCAATCCTGGAATTGATATTGCACACTTTTCCAGTATTCCTTGCAACCCTAGTGCTGCCTTAAGGTGTGGTCACATTAGCAATATTTCAGCAAAATTCCACTGGCAGAAAAAGGTCTATTCAGGGCTCGACAATAAGGACTGCCCCGATGGCCCGGTGCCAGCATGAAGGACACTCGGGACGATTGATGGAATTGTAACTTGCCCGATTGGGTCAGTGCTGCGTCATCACAAAAGTTGATCATTTGCACGTTTTAGAGTTTTGCCAATTTAAACATTCAAGCGATTTTCAACCTTTCAGATTCAAGCACAAGGTGCGAAAGAGAACTCGATGCTCGCATGCTGTTTTCTGTACACGCACACAAACAGAAGGTGTTTCGCAATACCAAGTACGTAAAGATCGGACTTGCATCCTTGGTAGTTCGGACTTAGCAAGTTCAACTCAGGAGTAAGAACTCTGGAGGACGAGAGGACAAAAGTCCAGTAATTCTGCAAATAGAACAGCAGTGTACTTGACTTCATTCACCTCGTCTTCACTGTAAATTAACAATAAAACAAAATATGATGTTTATAATCTAAGCCTCTTTTTGTTTTCATTTTAAATATCTCAAACATGTGTTTCAGGCGACCCATGCATACTTTATCTTCTCTTTATGTATATTTATAACAAAATGAAATATAAAACACAACACTGTCTATTTTAAAAGTATGAAACATTTTAATATGTGGTACAGGCAACATGTGCATATACTCTTATTATCTTTGCTATATGTATAATGAAATGAAATGACAAAAACACAACCCTTCAGATAGCTCTCTGTGTGCGCGCGAAAACAACTCGTGATTACTGAATTGAGTTCTTTTTTGCGTCGTCTTATGCTTGAACGGAAAAAAATACTCACAATAAACGCATATTAAAATGCCCGTCTTGGCGAGTATTTACGCAAACAATCAGTTATGTCTTAACTAAATGTAAAGTTATGTCTTAACTAAATATAAACGAATGACAAAGAAAATGCATGTGTAAGTGTAATAGTATATTGGATCCGTGCATTAGGTCTTAAAGTGACAGCAGCCTTAAATATCTGTTGCCGTCTGTGACAGTTAATCAAACAACAAAAGATGAAGAGAAAATCACTCGGTGCTCTTGACTGAGCAACCTTTGTAACTTCAATAAAAATAAATGTATTTTAAATTTACGAAAAACTCCTGAACATGCAGATTCCTATTGAATTTGGACGCTAATTTTCGCTGAGCAAAGTAAAAAGGTTAGCAACCTTGATACCTCTTTTTAGGTTTAAGAGGTAGTAGGGGTGGGCGATTTATACCGGTAGAAATTTGTCAACCGGTAGAGATTTGACTATCGTCTCAGTGCTGCTAGACACTCACAGTGCTGAATGTCTGTCCCAGCGTTGGCAGCATTTGGTTCCAGAGTTCCCAGTCTAACTGTTGTACTGATGTTGTTTGCGGATGCTATGGTGTACTGGAGCTGTCCGTGAGATATTTACAGTGAATAATTTGTGGCTTACTGTATTTTCACACTGTTGACTGTTTCAGCATGCTGTTGAATCTTCTAGCACATATTTATCTTCCATAGTAGGGTTTCCTTATGAATGTTGTAGGTCTACATGAAAGGACAAATTTTAGCAACGGAAATGATCAGCAGATAAGTGAAGTCAGGTGCAGGTTTATTACGGTAAGGCATTATACAGTTATACAGTCTCTGTGGTGTAACAGAAATTTGTCAGCTTGGTGGAGTCTTACTGCGTCCAATTTCCATAAGATGAGTTAAGTCTTAACATCCTTTTACATACATTCATTCTTTCTGTGAGTTGTTATGAACTTGGAAGGTATAAATTAGATGTTTCCTCTGTACTGGTCCACATTTCAGACTACATAGATGTAGTCAGCAGGGAGAGGACTGCCCATTCATGGAAGAAAATTAAAGGGGAACTTGGCAACCATTTCGACTTAATAAAACCGTTTAGAAATCATTTGGATGGTTAAATGGTCCGAGATTCCTGTCTGTTGGATTTATTACAGCACGTGAATTCATCAGTTTCTCCCGAAATACATGAAAGTGGCCGGTGAACTGGGAGAAACTATAAATGTATTGTTTTACTATAAATTAAATGTATTTAAATGTCTGAAACCTAAAATAAACATTATGTGGTTAAAAACACTGAACAGTTGTGATATAGCCTATGATGACAAGCGCTGAGCGCGTCCGTCTTTGGCTCAGCGCCAGCCATAGAGCGAAAGCACAGTTTGAATCTGGCAGTGATGTCATGTCACTGTGCATTCGCTCTTTAGTGCTCAGCTGCTGCAGAGCGTGCCGAAATTGCTAATGAGATATAGAGGAACATATCTAGTGGAAAATGAGAATGTTACGAAAATAAGAATGCATTACTTTGCACTTATATAGTCTTTTATTTTGGAATTTTAAGAGCAATAAACATATATTGCAATGTTAAGGAATTCATGTTTTTTTTTCATTCAGATATGTAAATCAACATGTATAAAGTGCTATTAGTCAATTAATGGGGAGATAATCTAATCGGACTGGAAAAATGAATCGTTAGATTAATCGATGCATCGAAAAAATAATCGCTAGATTAATCGTTTAAAAAATAATCGTTTATCCCAGCCCTACTCCACACGATAAAGTTGGCCGGCTCCGATAATAACAAATGCACATGAGCAGTGGTAGAAAGGGGGAGGAGGGTGCCGCAAGTGAGTTTTTTTATGACAGTGTTATGAAATATACGCCCCACAGCTGTAGGGGGAGCTCGATGAGAAAACATGCGACAACAAAAGTGAAAATCAGCGTGGAAATGGCTAGAGTTGCCAAGTGCCCCTTTAACGTTTACTGCAGTAACTACAGTTTCCTAGTTTTTTGTTTTGTTTGTTATGCCATGTTTTGTTGTTTTTGTTTGTGAACATTTTTGCCTGTATATAAATGGTAAAAGTAGACTTCAGTGTATTCAAGAAATTCAGCATCAAGATTGTAAACGCTCGAAAAACACAGCAGACTTTACATTGCAAATTTTATTACAGGTAAAATAAGTTAGTAAACAATCCTTTTCTCAGTT